CACGAGCTATCCATAATGGAATTAACAAAATTCCATTACCAGCATATCAAGAAACGTAATAGGTTCAGTTCCACTTAATCTCAGCCGCGCTTCATTATCGTTAACGGACGCCCTTAAGGAAAGCCCCTAGTGCCACTGATTGCTGTTTAAAGAACAATCGTACGCACAGTGCCCGGTGATCGACATTTGTTCTACGACAGATGCATCATCTCTATGCAAGCACTAAGAGCTCAGGTACTTGAGGCGCTAATGAGGTGTGGGCGCTCTCTCCATAATGCCATCGGTAATTAGCCCGCAGAGCCTTGCGGTGCGGCCGGAGCAGAGTCCATTAAAAGCAAAGATTGCATTAAATCCACGTCTTCATAATCGCTTTCAGCTTCTAGAATGAGAGCTGTTTACTTTCATGATGTTTTTCACCTGTGACACGCCGTGAATTATTTTTCCATTTCAGTTAAAGGATATGTGTCCTATTAAATCTAGCAGTGAAAGTGTAGCGAAGGTAAGGATGGGGGCGTGGTCTGTGCTGGATAATAGTGCATAATAGCCAGGCCACTCCCCCTTCCTGCATCTTATTTTTTTATATAGGGCAGAGTGCTGGGGGGGGGGGGGGGGGGGGGGGCAAAAACTGCAAAATAAAAGCAAAAAACCTGACTCATTGAAACCAAAATGTTTTGGCTTTAGCTTTACTTTAATACTTCTATTTCAATAGAATTTCAAGTCAAAAACGGTTCATAGACTCGATTGCTATCACATCATATACGTTTCAGAACAACAGCGGTTCCTTCTTCAGGCAAACAGAATGTGAAACACCACAGTACAAGTGCAGATATATATACATAGTGAGAAAGACAGTGGACCAATCACATGAACACGTGTTAACCCCTCCGTTGCTGGAAAGACTATGCATTCCCGCCTTAATGTCAGGCATTACCCAGATCAATCGGATCATCTGGCCCTTTAAGAGTTCTAAATGTGCTGCCATGTTGCCTCTGACCTTGCTGCAAACTACCACATGTGCTCCTTAGTTAGCTCCGCCCCAAACACTATCCAAGTGTGGAGATGGGCGAGATCTCTATCTCCATGGAGACTTTGGACATGGATTTTGGACCATAGGAGGGGTGACACCAAAAGGACTGACAGTCGTTTTGGTGTCACTCCCTCCAAAAAGTCGGGCACTCGATCATGGAACGAGAGCCCGATAGTGTCAGGAGAGAGGAGGGGACCCAGCGGCATACCTCATCCCGCCGGGTTAACGTCCCCTACTCTCTCTGCCGGCGTCCATCACTAAGATGGCCTCCGGTAGGCGTCAATTAGATGACCGTGGATGTGCGATGACGTTGCGGCGGGGTGTCACCTGGTCTCTTCTGGGTGGCATTGTTATCAAGCCTTTGCCAATCAGTCCCTGGTCACACCTGGTCCTGCCCACTGTTTTCTGGATTGTCAGCACTGCCTCTGTTGCTGAAACCCTCCCACTGTGAGCTGCAGTGTCTGGGAGTGGGAGTGTGTGAGACCCAAATGAAGGAGAGTTTTGCTCAGTCAGGGAAGGTGAAGGAAGTATTTTGCTTACTCTGAGGATTGTGCATGACATAGTATCTGGACTTGGTACTTGAATAGCCTGGTCCATGGGAAGTCACCAGGCTCACCAAGATGTAGTCGTTGTGTATTTCTGTCAGCGTCCCCTTTAGATGTACTGTAAGCTTTCCTTCCATCCATGAAATGTATCAGCATCCATTGTTATTTATTTTGTTCATTTTTGAGGTTGCATGGTGAACTCTCAGGGAGATGTCTGGCAGCGTGAACAGGAGCCACTTTGACAGAAATGTTTATCTCAATGTGAATATAAATCTGATTAGTCAGTTAGAAGAAAGATATTAGCGATTCCCCATGTGACACATTAAAGTCATTAGCGTTATAATCGCGCGGGCGGAACCGCATTATTATGGCAGAATGTGTTATGGGAAAGCGACATAAATAGATAAACCATTCATTTTCACTCAGTTCCCTTTTCATGATATTATTTTTATACGGATTTGAAGAGCACCTCCAGGCAATAATTAAAATCAATCAACCAACCAACTGCCAGATCTAGTCAGCAAACGCTGCAACGGCGCTAAAATCAAAGTGTCCCCCTGATTTGCCTTAGAGGTAGATTTATAAAATGAAGAACGACTGATTTTCCAGAGTAGTGCCTGACTGAGTCAAATGAAGCAGCTTTTCCTGATATTTGAATATTTTATTCTTCAGTACGCCATGTGATGTAGGGTTTGTTATGATCTATTTCAGAATAATTAGGCAGGCTTTTCCCAGTGCCTCTGGGTGATCCTGCAGTCACTTGCTGATCCTCATGGGGATGGTTTATAACTCATCCGCTCAGCCATACACTGGGTGAATGCAGTTCCCAGGACATTCCTGCCACTAGATGGCGCCGAGGAGCATAGGAGTTTCCTATGCTCCTTAGCTCCATCTACTGGTGGGAACGGCTTTCACCCAGAGTACGGCTGGGCACAGGGCCGGATTTTCCGTAAGGCCAACCGAGGACCGCCCTTGGGGCAGCAAAGGTGTGGAATTCCTATCTCCCGATGCCCAGGACATGCAGCTCCGGGAGCTGGGCTGAGTTGTTTTCTACATATAGACCTGCTTTGGGTAAGCAGAGCTAAATGTACAGTGGGGAAGCTGCCGCTTGTTTTGTACAAATGATCTCAGGGGGGTATGCAGCCTACATACAGGGGGGCGCAATGAGGAACCTGGCCTTGGGGCAGCAGAGAGGGTAAATCCGGCCCTGGCTGGGCAGATGATTTATAAGTGATCCCCCATGTGCTGTGCAGCCTCTCTGCTGACAGGATACTGCACTGTGACAGGATCAGGTGATCACTAAGATTTTGGATTGTCCCATGACAATGATCTACAGACCTAAAGGAGACCGAGAATCCTTCAAGACGGGACACAGACAACAGAAAAAAACGAACGTTGGGTTCCAGTAACTCCTCAATCTATCAAAAAAAAAAGTTATATGAGAGTGGCGCCTATGTTATTCCCTTGTGGGAGGCCAGAGGCGCAGACTCCACTGGAACATGCCACCACTGGAGTCTCCAACAGGTATAAAAAGCACCCCTGACCACAAAACCTGAATTGTTTCTTTTGGGAGTGGATAGTATTGACTTTGATCTTGCAGATGTTTGAGATGTTACTTTCCTCCGTTGCCAGTCAAAGCTGAAGTGACTTCAATATTTGTTTTCTTGGCAGGTATCTCAGGAGAACATCAGCAACAAGATGACCGCCTCAAACCTGGGCTGTGTGTTTGGACTGAATCTGGCCTGGCCGCAGGAAGGAGTCCCATCCATCAATGCTCTGGTCCCAGTAAACATGTTTACAGAATTGTTAATTGAATACTACCCACAAATCTTCAGCTCCAGGACTGTCCCGGGCGAGAAACTCCCATAGTCACCAAGGACTACAGTATGTCATGGACCTTTCACAGAAACAAGATGATGAACAGCATAAATTGCAAATTTGAGGGTCATTTATACCTTGGTGGCTACTATTGGCCCTGCACAGCTTTCTTCATAGTTGCCCCAGTTTTGTAAAAAGAACAATTCTTCATTCAAAACTTTTTTTTTTTTTTTTTTAGTTTTGGATAGAAAGGAGAGGACTAGAACACCTGTCAGGTTTCACTGCTTTCTGTGCCCCCGTTAGGGAGATTCAACTCCCCCCCCAGTTGTCCGGGCGACCATTATCACTAAAAGTAAAAAAAATCACACATTTTGGGTTGTCACCAGGAATATTATTTATTATTTACAGTATTTATTTATTATTGGTATTTATATAGTCCTAACTATTTACCCAGCGCTTTACACAGTGCGCATTCACATCAGTCCCTGCCCGTAAGGAGCTTACAATCTATGGTCCCTATTTCACATGTATACATAGGAGGGCCAATTTAAACAGGATCCAATTAACCTACCAGCATGTCTTTGGAGTAGATAGGAAATCTTCCAATGGGGGCACTAGTTTTGTTGTCCCCCGGGGATTTCCCTCCATTTGGAGGGATTTTTTACATAAAAGGTTATTAGGTTTATAGAGCATTAGCCAGAAGTGCATTCAAGATACCAAACATACGCACATATGTTAACATATAGATACAAAGGCACAAGAGACAGGTAATCCGTAATTCTATAGTCCATCAGTATCGGTGATATTTAATATGACAGGTGTGTTCCACAGCATTAAAGCCACCTACGGGCAGTACAACACCTAGTCCACATGTGCGAGGTCCACGTATGGCCAAGTAAGAGGACCAATTTGGAAAATAGACAGGGAGAAGGGAGCTAGGACAGGAAAGAGAAGAGGAAGGTGATATCACTTTGGAGAGATTTCCACTTACTTCCTGTTGTGGCTGAGACAGGAAGTGAAGGCAAATCTCCCCAATGGCAAATGGCAAAACAATCTGACGGGTTATAAACTTCCGTTACTCTATCCAAAACTAAAAAAAAAAGTTTGGGTTTCATTTTTACTTCAAGAGGCACTTGCATTGCTCCTCCTGCCCTGTGATAAGCTTCACCCCTTGTGCTATGCTCCTCACTCCATGCCACAGTCATACTACCCCTTATACAGATGCTGAAGAATGGACAAAAGGCAGGGAAAGGGTTGTCTTGTGTCACCCCTAAAGGGGTCCACGTGTGACAGGATTCTCCCCTGTCCTCCTATAGGAAGGACCCTTAGAAAGAAGTGTTCGGTGGGCTCTTTTCTCTTGATTGTTGATACAGGAGACATTGTGGCAACCACACACTGATTAGCCCAATGGCCCTGACTTTATGTCTTAAAATAAACCTGGGAAAATTAAACTGAAGAAAAACAAAATAAGTTGCCTAGAGTAAAACTACATATACAAATGATCAGCAGATGGAGACATAGAGGCAGCTGAAGTTATATGCAAGTCTTGAACTTTTTCCTGGGTAGGGATGAGCGAAATTGGAAGATGTTTTTGTTTTGTTGAAATCACAGCCAAATTTGTGATATGCTGAAATTTTGACAATATGCATTGGAACCACTGGAACCCATGGGGAAGGCTAAATTCAGGCTGTAAGCATGCAATGGGCTTCCAATGATTCCTTTCATCTATCCTGGACCTTGCTTTTTGGCCACAAAATGCCTACCCTTAACCCTTTGTTTATCAACAAAGTAATGTGAGCACCTTGTTAGACCTGTCAAAGCGGTCACATGACCTTGTTGACAAAGCATTGTCAGTGGCATAGCTTTGTTTATAAATCTTTCCTTAGAATACATTTTGGTCTAAATGCTCTGCGTCTGGTGCATTGTAACAAGGCAGTGCAGCATGTGTGCACAATGTGAAGGATGTTTTTAAATGTCCAGGTTTTCTGTTTTACTACAATAGCCGATCGAGAGGAAGTTAAAGGGAAATGTTTTTTATGCTAATTTCGCATCATGATGAAATTGGAGGAGAATGCAATTCAATTTCAACAAAATCATGAATTTGTGTTTGTAATTTTTTTAGTTCGCCAAAGTCACTCTGTTTATCCCTAGTAAAGGGCATGGCTGGGCCTGCTACCTACCCCCCTATTGGTCCTTTATTATGTAAGGTAGCATTGTTAACCAGTAGGAAGGCTCTGGAGAGGACAAGCAGAGGCTTGGTTGGAAAAGTCAAAATGCACAATTTCTGTGGCCTGTATATCTGGATCCATTCATCATTTGGACATGTGCTGTGCATTGTAGGGAACCTCTGCTTATGTTTTTTTTTTTATTTTGAATTGCCCAGATTTAGGAACCCAAGTACATCAAAGCCAATCTCCGGGCAAATAATAAAACCTCCTTGCAGTAGGACTACTCCCACATTGCAATGGTTCAGTGCTCATTTATGCCTGGGGACTCTGTACAGCAGTTTTACTCATCTGATCCCCATTCCCCTGCCAGGCGGTGCTCACCTCTTCCCCCCCTAAGCTTTGGATGGTGGACTTACCCTAGGCGGATCTAATGACATCAATGGGCCTCCGACTGGCAGAGATGAGGGGGGGAAGAAGCTTCGAGTGCCGGCCTTAAAGCCAGTGGCAGCGGGGAGCAGGTAAGTAAAAACTCTGGCCCCCTTGGCATAAATAAGCAGGTAACCCTTGCAGTGCCAGGAGGTTTTTTGTTGTCCTGGAGATGGTTTTTAAATGAGGACTGTGCTGCCAACAGCCAGATTCATAACTTCAGACTTCTCCAATTTAAGGGTCTCAATGGGGCAAAAAAGATAAGGAGAATCTCTGCAGTCTGTTGCCTTAGCACAATGACGTGACAGTATTCCTGCCTTACCTGGTGATTGGCACAGCTTTAGACACCTTTGTTTTAAAATGTTACATGATTTTGCACTGTTTATTGTCACAGCATTAATATTTATATTGGATGTTTTGTTACAGGGTGTATGAGAATGTTCGGTTTAAAAGGAAAAAAACTAGTAAAATATTATATTCTTACCTGGTGTATGGTGTACTCATTATGGTTTTCCCTCATTTTGGGAGATTTTGTCTCATAGCATTGTGTCTCCAGTACAGGAAATGAAGGCAAATTTCCTCTTTGTAAGGTTACTGCAATTAGCCTTTCACCCCTGATAACAATTGGGACATACATCTACAGGGGTGCTGGAGATGTTACAACAACACTGGGACTATGACTGCTGAGTGATAGGGTTAGGCTGCTATACTCAAATGATTCAGTTTAAGGACGGTACTGGAGTGGCTCATGTGTGTACCTTCAGTACTTTGGTGTCCCCATGTGTGTACCTTCAGGACCCACTTTGTGTGTCCATTCACACTTGTGTGTTCCATTGCCAAAGGTACCCCAACGCATTGTACAGTAGTGGGTAACGCAATTCAGCACACACAAGGCACTGCGGTACCCCATGTTGGGGCCATACAGATTTCTCTGTATGCTGTGGAGCTTTGGCAGATCTTCGTAATGAATGGGCTGACTTAATGCAATGCACGTTAACGCAAAATGCAAGAGATCGCTTAATGGGCCCTGAATAAGAATTCTCTAAAAGAAGACCGATGTATAAAACAATAATTATCAGCTGCATATTAAAAGGGCAATTGCATACCAAACTGTAATATCAGGAGAGTGGTGACGTAGGTGTCGGAAGATGGAACCACAGCACGTGGCGGGGTACACAGTTATCCCACATTCCCAGGAGTGTGGAAGGCTGAGGACAATGATGGAGGCTGCAGTGCTGGACAAGGGGGAAGGTAGGATACACAGGGCGCCGGAGAGGTGGGTATAAAAGCTTTTTGCTTGCAGGGAGTCTTCATCTTGTTCTTTTTATCACCTGACGGGGGCACTTTTAGGGGCTTCCAAAAAGCGGCTCTATGCTTTGTACATTCTTCCTGGACATGGCGCTCTGCAGACTTACATTTGCAATCAGCTAATGTCTGTGTAAACAGGTTCGTGTATTGCTTTATCTGAATTGAAGTCTTTTCAAAAAGAGCCATCACAACAGTGACATCCGAAGGTGGGATGGAAGAATGGCACTTTATATAAGTGGGAACTCAACTTAACTCTGGAAGCCCAAAAAATGCAGGCAGAGGGCATAGGGCTAGTCAGCAGTATTGCTCGACTTACCATTACTAATTTACCATGCCTTGTTCTGCACTGTGTCCTGTGTGGGCGATGCCCATCTTGGTAGAGGCAGGGCTTTGCAACCTCATGTCATGATAGTGACTTCTCTAGATCTCCTAAGACTAGCAGTCAGAGGCAGCAGTGCCTTACATTTGACGCTGCAGATATCTAGCTATGAGGCTGTAGTTACAGGTGTGCCTAGGCACACTCGCATACCAAGAAGTGCACTGATATTTTATAGGAGAATATTTCTGGGTACCAATTAGGCACAATTAACATTGCAGTGGCAAAAGTCCAGGGCACAAAGTTGAATTGTGCTGTCTAATAGGAGCACCTGGATTAGAAGACTGGCTTAACAGAACTGCAAATCCTTTTGCATATAAAACTCTTTACATATTTGTATTTTAAATGTGCCTGTATATGCTTTCCAGGAGTTAAAGTGGCATCAAAGTCTACATTTTCCCCTCCCCCAACGTTAGTGTAAGCACTTACCTTAAATGATGTCCCTTAATCCAATCTTCTTTCCTGTCCTTTTCAGCCTTCTCTCCAGCGCTGCTGCGGCTCTCCGATCCAGCGCTGACTCCTCTGTCCTTGCTGGCACATCCTGTCCCACGGTGACTGCATGCGGGTGCACGCGTCCATAGACTTACCTTGTGTCTCTCCTCGTCTGCTGGCTGAAAATCTGAACTGCGCATGTGCCCGCCCCAAGCTGCTTTGCGGCCGCCCGAGATTTGTCAGATTTCCGGACGGGAGCGCGCGGCGAAGACAAGTTTAAACTTGTTTGTATCTACTGCTCGCTAGCAGTAGATATATGCAAAAACACCTGAGGGTTTAAAAACCCTTTAAGTATAAAAAAATAATTTGTGCAATAGTTAGTCTGCTATTGGCTATTGCAAATTGAA